TCAAAGATATCTTCTAAATCTTCTGAATCAATATCTTTATTATTAATATATTGATGACGGTAAAGTAATCTCCTGCTCTTACTTTATTATTATATTGGATTTCTAATCTTTTTTTAATAAAAAGGTATGGCATAACTTTTTTAGATTTATTTGTTAAATCATATCTTGATGATTTGCATAATAGGCAACTTTAAAAAGATTTATAAATTCCAGTATAACATATACAAGAATTTTTACACATATCATAAAAGGTAGGAACAAGTCCTGTTAACCTTTTTAATAATTTTTTAATCTTATATAAACTAAGGTCTTTTTGTGCTAATCTTTTCATAATAAATTTTTTCATAAAACTATCAAATAACGCTTTCGTAAAGTTATATAATGATTTAAAATATAAAAGTTGAAGACCATCAATAACTTCTTGGCTAATAATATTATCATCTTCAATTTGCATTGCATCTTCATTGTTATCATCTTCATTTTCGTCAATATCATCATATTCTTCTTCTTCTTCATCATCTTCTTTTTCTTCATCATTTTGACTAACAGAATCGTTATCGTTATCATCTTCTTCATTATCTCAAATTATGATAATACTTTAATTAACATTTACAATAAACAAGTCTGAAAGATATTTAAAGATTAATTTTAGTAAATTTTCTAGAATTAAAGTGATTGATTCACATTTTAGCTTAATGTTAAATTTGGATTGATTTCAACTATAATTAGTACAATTAGTATAGTTAGTACACTATTATAATTAATATAAAAATTAGTATAAGTACAGTACAAGTACAGTGTTAATTTTATCTAGTACATACAAAATTCCCAACCCTGATATATAATATCTATAGTATAAATATTGTATATATAGCAATTTGCAACTTGCCATGTAAACCACCTGAACCTCAAGGTCTAGGTTAAATTTGCCTATAATTTTATATCTTTTATTTTAATTTAATGATTTATTTTCTTAGTATAATTAAATATAATAAATTATTTTACAACTTTAATAACTAATCTATAATTTTGCATCTGTAATTTAATAATTATTTGATAAAATTTGACTTTTAAAAAAAAACTTAGAATAATATATATAATATAAACCAAATTATTTAATATAAAATTTACTTTATTTATAATTATTCTGATTATTAATATATATACAAAATTTTTATATAAAAATCATCGTTTAATACTACTTTATAAGCTGTATTAATTAGGAAATATATAGGGTTTAATAAACTTGACTTTACATCAACATTAAAAAATTATTTTGGTTTTATAATTTTGCTAGATAATGAAGAATTAAAGAGTAAGATAGGGGATTGTTACACAAAGCTTAAGGGAATATGCGTGTCAGTTAGATCTAATTAAGAGCTATAAAGAAACATCTACAAAAGAAGTATGTTAAGATATAGCATCCATTCTTAAATTCCGTCATACCACTCTCCTGTAGCTTGTCAAAAAGCCAATAAAGAAAAAAAAATACTGATAATGAAAATTAAAAAATATATGTAGATTTCTCATAAAGTTTGTAAAATACGGCAAGACAATGAATGTCCTTTTAGTTTAAGTATAAAAAAATGTTGGTAACGAATATGGAATTAAAACTGAAATATTTTACCATAATTAAATACATTTCTTTCAACATCCGTCTTTACCTCCAGGCAGTCTCATGGTCAAATACATAGTGCCATCGTTCTGGACATTATATTCTGGCAGCTTCTTATGATTTTCGCGTAGTTCATGGCTTTGGTAAACAAGCCTTTGTTCATTCACGGGGATTCCTATTAAATAATTTCAGAATGAGTCACCAGTGCCATCATCGCTACTCCAAGCTAAAATTTATACCTTCACGTTCCTGAATTTTCTGCTTGACACTTTTGACGGTGTCATTTCCAGACACCCTAAGAGTAATTGTTTTTCCTGAAAGTACAACTACAAACAGGGTCATGCACAAAAACATAGTCCCTTCATTCTGGAAATCATACTCTTCCAGCTTCTTTTCGTTGCGCAGTTCTTCGTTGCTTATGTAGACAAGCCTTTGTTGATTCAAAGGGATTCCTATTAAACATATCGGAATTAGTGACCGGCAAAACGCACGATTTCCCCAAGTTATAATTATACCTTCAAGTTCCTGAATTTTCTGTTTTACATTTTCAACGGTGTCATCACCAAACACCTTAAGATTAATCTTTTTTCCTGAAAGTAGAACTACGAACAGGGTCATACACAAAAACATAACCCCTTCGCTCTGAAAATCATAGTCTTCCAGCTTCTTATCGTTATGTAGTTCTTCGGTTATGTAGACAAGCCTTTGTTTATTCACGGGAATTCCTATTGAATATGTTTCAGAATGAGCTACCAACAGCACACATGCTTTCCCAAGCTAAAATTATACCTTCCATTTCCTGAATTTTCTGCTTGACATACTTGACGGTGGAATCTCCGGTTACAACAAGAGTAATATTTTTTCCCGAGTGTATGACTACGAACAAGATCATAATGGCCTTGTGGTTTTGCTAATTTACCCAAGTAATGTTCCATTAACTCCGACCACAAAACCAGAAAATTCTTTATTAGTATATTTTTGTCCTTTTATGGCTAAATACAGCGTGACTGTACACTTAATAATTTTTTCCTTTTCAAAAACTCTGAAATATTTTCATCACACTCATGCCAAAAGAATGCAAAATTTGTTGTAATGACTTGCCCGTTACCGAATTTATGAGCTCCACTACCAAGTGTGGCCATAAAAACATATGCCGGGCTTGTCTCAACAAAACTATTAATTACCAATTGAATACAAAAGGTAATGTTGAAATTGAATGTTTAGAGACGAATTGCAAGGTCTTGATGGAATATGAAGACATGAAGCGAGTTGCCAGTAATGATTTGTTTGAAAGGTACATACATACATTCTCGGTATCTAATTCGTTACAGAAATATATAAATTAAATATATTATTTTTTTTTTCTTTTCAGATATGACCATCTTTGTTTCCGGCAAGCTATACGACGAATGCCAGATTTTCGATGGTGCAAAAATCCGAATTGCGGATCGGGGCAAGAGCATTTTGAACGAGGTTGGAAATGAATTCATTTATATTCGAATCGAGAATGAGTTTCAGCTAATATCTAATTTTCCAATAGACGATGCTCCGATAATGATTTGTGTCGCGTGTGAAAAACTGACTTGCTATACACACGATGTTCCGTGGCATGAAGGTCGAACGTGTTCGCAATACGATATTGAGAGACAGACTACCGAAGGCGCCACGCGTGATACTATCGATCGCGAGACCAAACCTTGTCCCAAATGTCATATTAGAATTTATAAATCGGGTGAGAAGAGTGTTCTTGATCTACGTTAAATCACTCATTTGATCTAAGGTTTTTCAACTTTAGAAGGGTGTTCTCATATGACTTGCGCCAATACCGGATGCGGACACGAATTTTGTTGGTTGTGAGTGACAAGTTAGCTTTTTGATGTCAATCCTATTCGTCATATTTATTAATATTTTTTTTTTTTTGAATATATAAGATGCGGTGCGGATTATAAAAATATTCTTAAAAATGGCAACAATTATCACGAAAAGACATGTGAGTTGTACGGTAAAGCACGGTACCGCTTTAGATAATAAAATTCGATAATACTACTCTATCTCTAACAAGAATACTTAGTTATAAAAATCTATTTATCAATTCCAACCAAAGTGTTTGTGATTTAATTTATATTGCGCAATAATGCAAAAAATAAGTTTAAAATAACCAAAACAAAATTTTTATAAATATTCTGCTCCAGTATTTCCTTCTAACATGTCCTTCAATGGAGAGGACTGAACATTGTCAAAAAAAAAAATAACAGATAAGACGTTACAATAATGTAAAAATTTCATCACATAAAAATGAAATAATGCCAGCAACGAAGATCACATTACCTTAATCTTAATGACTTCTTTGACCTTAACAAGCGATTTGAACAGTTTCACTTCTGAATCATCGGGGTTAGTTTCCGATTTATCAATTACTAAAAAAAATATTAATTTAAATATTGTATATTATTATTACAAAATAAAACACCGAATCTTATTTACTTGATTTAATTTTTTTTCTTAATATGTTTAGCTCTACTGATATAACACCGATAAACCGGTTGCTTTGAAATCCTCTTTATCAGAAAATTTATTCTGACGTAAAATTGAATAATCATTATCGAGATGTAATATTTGAAAATGTTGTCGTTTAAAAAAATTAAGCAACCCAGTTGTATTCAAAAGTTCAAAAGACTTCATTAGATCTATTATAGAAATTTAAGAAAAGTTCAAAGAACTTCATGTCAATTTAAAACTACCTTGGATGTTTCTAAAATAGGTAATCAAGCATGTTATGATCGATCAAAAATCGATTGCACGTGATCAATTAAGCTAAATCTATTTTTGAGGACTTGTGGTATGCTACTTGATGGACATTTCTGTGAAACCCGAAATCGGTATATTTCTTGATAGACATTTTTGTGAAACTCAAATTTGGTATACTTCTTCAGTCATTTTTGTGAAACCTGAATTTGGTATTAATAAGAATCAAGAAAATGAATTGGATATACGAAGGTCTTGACAAATATGAACAAAAAGAACTTTAACTAGTCATATATTCTCAAATACTTCAATAAATGATAATGTTAAAGATGAATTAAGCAATTTTAATAATATGTATTGTGTTGATCCTAAAATTGATCCTTGTGAATAGTAAAGAGAACGCAAATCTTTATTTCCAACTTTATCTGATTTGGTATGAAAATATCTTCAAATTTCTAAAACATCTATTCCAAGTGAATGCTTCTTTTCAGATATTGGAAACAATATTACAATTTGATGTATACAGTTGGATCCTAATCTTTTACATCGTAAGGTTTTTTTGAAATGAAATATAAATGCTATTAAAATTTTTCCACCAGAAGAATAAAAATTATATTAGTAAAGGTAAATCCTTTTAATAATAGCAAAAGAATAATCTCAAAATTTAAATTATACTTATCTTAATTAGTCTAATAGGTTTAATTGGATCTATAAATTAAAAAATTAATGACATTTCAGTGAAAAACTTCTCCTTTTTCATGGAGAATATGATCTCCTTCTGTATCTTCAGAAATGGGATTTATAATCCTAGAATGATAGTAGAAATAGGATCTATGATCCTGTGAATGATGATGAGAATGGGATCTATAATCCTAAGAATGAACATGAGAATAGGATCTATGATCTTGGTGAGAATAAGATCTATGAAGATACTGGTACTAGCAACGATCTCCATTCTGTCTTTTATACTAACAACGATTTACGTCTAAAAATAATAAATAAATTAAAAAATTGAAGTTTTAAAAGTAAAAAATATATTTCTTATTATTATTATTCAATAAATAATTACCGGTTTAAAACCAAAATTCATCACCCAACTAAAGTTGCTGGACAAAATCAAGAGTTTAAACAGACATCTAAATAGTAAAAGTAAAACTTGGTTAAATTATATTAAAACCTTATTAAAAAATCTGCGAAATTTGAAAAAAGGTAAAACTATATCAAAGCTTATAAAAATGGCAAAACTATATCAAACACTTAGTAAAAATTTAGCGAAACTAAAGGTTTTACCATTTTGTCAAATCCAAAATAAGTTTAGACAAGCAACCTTACACCTAACTCTGCATGAAATATCTGATCATGCAGAGTTAGATTTGTTATTGATTGATCATGAGAATTCTCTTCAGCTTTCAACTTCTTGAAATTTTTATACCTATATTTTAGTGAGTACTATTTACTTTGACATTGAGATAGAGAAGCGGTGAACCCTCTATTAATAAACAATTGATTGGATATGGTTCTCCATATCCTTTCATGACGATTATTTAGAATGAATTTAAAATCATCATGATAGTCACATCGTAAATGAATTAATTCTAATATAGCGTCATTCATTCATTTAAAGGGAGTAATAGAAGTAGTAGGTTGTACCAAAGCCATGAAATCGAAAAAGTAAAAAGAGATAAAAAATGGAAAAAAAGAAAAAACGAAATAAAAAATGATTGAATAAAATAGATAAAAAATGAATGATAAAAAAAGAAAAAACAAGAGGTGAAATAAAAAATTGAAAAAAATTGAAAAAACGAAATAAAAAGTGATTGAATAAAATAAGTTTAGAAAAAATCGAATGATAAAAAAAGAAAAAACGAAAGAGGTAAAATAAAAATATTAAAAAAAATGAAAAAACAAAGTAAAAAAATCAAAAGATAAAAAAAAAAATGAATTTAAAGGCGATTAAAAAAGAAAAATAAATTAAAAGCAATTGAAATAATAAATAAAATAATAAGAAAAAAATTGAAAAATAAAAGATGAAGGAAACAAGGATTTTAAATGGAAAGATTTATGTTTGTGATGATATATTATGAAAAATGAAAGATTTGTGAGTATAAATTACATATATTTATATCTTTTATTTTTATTAGAGAACTTTTAATAATACAATAAAATTATTATAAAAAACTG